CCAATAAGAAGAAAGAATTTTACGAATTGACCAATCAAAAAGTACTTCAAAGCATTTCCAACGTGAAGTAGATCGCACCTAGAAAATGGGCGCGTTCAAGTTGGACAAAACTATTATAGAAAACAAATCAGTTATGCGGGGTCTACAATAGAAGTCGTAGCGGTCGTAGGGTCTTAAGTCATAGAAAATTGACCAATCACAGTTGAATATTCTTCTCATATTTGACTGTGATTGGTCAATTTTCTACGACTAAGACCCTACGACTGCTACGACTTCGTAGTTGGACTTCTTAACTGGATTAGTTTTCTCTGCTGAACGCAGCCATTGGCTGCGTTCAGCAGACTCAACAGTTTTGCAACCGTTTTATGATTGTCTGCTGAGATAGGACCATTCTTCTAGATCTAAAAGTATGATCCAATTAGCGCGAAGAAAACTTACAACAGTTGCAAAACAAACGTTCTGCTGAACGCAGCCATTGAATGTGATTGGTTGGATCTATAAGTAACAACTTGGTTGATTTGAACACACCCAATAGCTGCGTTCCATGAAGCTGATTCTACATTAGTCGCGTCGCAGCGTCGCAAGCGTTGCGGTCCAATCAACATCAAGCTGGCACGATTTTGATTGGATCATAACGCTTGCGACACGCTTGCGACATTGCGATACGACTAATGTAGAACCAGCTTTACACACATAAAGGTACAATTTTACATAACGCAAAAATAAATAATTGGAGCGACAGATCTGTCATTATCATGATGGAATTAGATAAGGTGATCGGGAGCGGCGCACACCACTCACATCGGCCTGTTCCTAGTAATTTTTCATTGCTTCACTAATGATTTTATTATTTTAAATTAGCAAATTGGTAATGTTGACAATTAATATACACTCAAGGCTGTGGCCCACTTGACGCTACAAACGCTTCGAAGCATTTGAGCGACCAATCAGAACAAAGGATTTTACGAATTGACTAATCAAAGAATGCTTCGAAGCGTTTGTAGCGTCAAGTGGACCGCAGCCTAAGTAATCCATTGTGTATAACTCCGGATCTACAATAGGATTTTAAACTTTAAGCCATAAGAAATGGGCGAATCACAATCGATTATTCCCCTCGAATTTGACTGTAATTGGTCAATTTCTTACAACTTAAGGTTTAAAACATCTATTGTAGATCCGGACTTAAGCGCTCAGTGAGCTCTTGTATTTGTTTGTCTATATTTTTAGCTCTAATGGAATATGCCAATCAGACGCAAGAGCTCACTGAGCGCTCTGCGCTTCTGGATGAAATTAGGGCCGGTATTCATAGTCCGTTCTTATTTCAAGATCGTCTTAAGTAATGTCTTAAGCTGGTTCTACATTAGTCGCATCGCAGTGTCGCAAGTGTGTCGCAACCGTTGTGGTCCAATCAGAGTCGAGCTAAATTGATGTTGATTGGACCGCAACGCTTACGACGCTGCGATGCGA